AAATTTTGGTTAAAAATCTTGTTTTCTTATGTCAGCAATGGAAGTTTAGCATCTTTTTTTTTTCTTTTTTTTTGTGAAAAATATTGATTTAGAAATTCTTACAGAAATCAAATAATTGTCAGATTTTAATTATCATGACTTATTCACAAATGAAGTAAATTTTTGGTTAATTTGCAGTATAAGCACCAAAAGCCTTTGGTAATGAGAACATACCATCCTGGTGTGAAATTGCCTGATTATTTTGAAAATAACATTAAAACATGACGCTCAATTATTGTTTCCGGCCACCATTACTGGTGTTGTTTACATATGTTTGCCTCAAGAAGTAATGCACAGAAGCTTACTTAGTTAACGGCCTTTTTACCGCTTTTCATATCTTACTCGATTACTGCACATTTTTTTCAAATGAAGTTTTAAATGAATAGTTTTTTTTTATTAAATTTGTTATAGGAAAAATTGAAAGCTTTCCTAGATAAATATGTTGTTATGGTCGAACCCTTTTTCCAAAAATATTCTTATGAAGCATTAAATAAATAGTTTTTTTGCGGCATAAATTCCTTTTTTCCAATTAGAAGTTTTGTTTCTTTGTGGAACTGAAGCTTTATTAACTAGTGAACTCTTCTTTTTTTAATTATAATAGAATCAATTGAAATCTTTTCTAAATAAATATAATATCATGGTTGAACCCTTTTTCCAAAAGTATTCTTAAGACAATATTGTCCTTAATAAATCTACTTATAGCTAATGAAACAGAATCTCACCCTAAAATGTAATTTATGAAGCTTTAAATGAATAGTATTTTTTGTGTGGTATAAATTCCTTTTTTCTAATTAAAAGTATTGTTTCTTTGTGGAACTGAAGCTTTATTAACTAATGAATTGTTTTTTTTTTTTTAAATTGGTCTTTTAAAAGCCCCAAATGTAATAAAATCAAAGTTTGTATTGTCAAAATGTTTCCATTATTATTAAGAAGAACAACTAAAGTATTTTTTTAATTATATTTTGACATTTTGTAATCCTTTCTTGCATGTGTTTCTTTGAAATCATCAGATTCTTATCTGTTCATGGAATGTGCATTATTTTTTTTTCTAATGAAAAAGACATTGTTTTGGAAATTCTTGCAAAAATCAAGAAACTTCCATGAAACACTAAAGAAAAGAAAAAAATTATTGAAAAAAGGAAAAGAATCCTTTTTTTTTTTTTACTTTTCAGGCATGTAATTTTTATTTTATCTTAACTGTCAGATTTTAAGGAAACTTAAAAAAAACATCATTGAGGAAAAAAGGAGAACTTAATTTTTCTATCCTTTCAGGCACGTTATTTTGTTTTTATTTTTCTCGTTTTTTTTTTTCGTTTTTACTAATATATTTGGGATCATGATTTTTTCTGTTAGCTGACTTTTAAAATGTTGTGCATTCAATGTGAAGCTTCCACACGAGTACTCAAGGCAACCATATGTGAAAAAAGTCAGTAATAGCAGTCATTTTGTTTAGACAACGAAAAAGAAGTCAACCTTACATTGTCCATAACTTCTAAATGGTAATCAAGTGCAATGTTTTAATGTCATTTTCAAAATAATCAGGTAATTTCACACCAGTATGGTACGTTCTCAATACCAGGGACTTTTGGTGTTTCTACTGCTAATTATTTTTTTTATTTTATTTTTTTTTAAATAATCATAAATAAATTTTTTTTTTTTTTCCATCCATCTGTTACCCTCACTTAATTTTATGACATTTCAGAAATTAAAATTCCACCCTCTTCATATTTATATTAGTTAAAAAGCAGGATACCTTGGCGAATTTAAATCATCAATTTGTCATTGTCAAACAGAAACACCATTTACCATTTAAATCTGTTCTGAATCCTAAAATAAAAATGTAATAAAACTATGACATTATTTAAAATCTTTTAATTGCTTTTATAAATAAGTTATATTAAAGTCATTATTGTCTTGAGAAAAAAAAAATTTCAGAATAGTATATTTTATTTTTGGAAGATTTTCAATAAAGATAATTACATTGCGATGAAAGACTACTAAAACTGATCAGCAATATTAGCAAAAGAAAAAAATAACTTCCTCATCTAGGGACTGACCAAGCTTAATGTTGCTTAACTTCAGTGATCATACAGGAACCAATGTTTCAAATAAGATATAGCTATTAACCAACTGATGAAATAAAAACAAAACTTAATTCTTTCTGCATAATTAAAAATTTAAACTCATTTCCATTCCAAATCATTATCCGAACTCAGCACTGATCAGTGGTATTGTTGGAGTTTAGTAACTGAGGCTAAAATCAATATTTACTTAAGTTCCACAAGACTGGGATACACAGTGAAGATCAAACTCACTACTGTAATGTGATGATTTGTGTAACTATTATTCTATTTTTGTTTCATAGTATGTCCAAATTTGCATTCAACATCTGCAAAGAAGAAAAGAGGATATAATTTCATCAATTCAGAATTTATAAACTCATGATTCCATTTAGTGAATTTTATTTTAATTAAATAAAAATAAGAAATATTGGGAATTCATATTTCTTTTTATGTTTTGTATTAATTATCTCCCTTTGTCTGACGCTCTTGTGTCATTGGTTTGCATCAATGAAAAAGTGATGGACGGCTGTTGTTTTAAATTAAAGTAAATTTGGGAAATATATAAACTTTTATAATGAATACGAAAATTATCAGCAATTGGTTGAAACTTTTGTTGGAAACAGTTTTATATCACTTCAGATTTAATCTATTAGATTTTTTCTTAAATTTATCTTTTATATTCTTATTGTTGTGAATTTTATTTTTTGACTTTTGAAGGTAGCATGTAGCCTAAAATTAAGTAAAGATAAACTTTGAAGTAAGTTACAAAAAAAATCATGCAAAAAGGTATATTGGTAAATATTAAGTTTCAGAATTTTTTTTCAGCTATTTTTTATTTATCTTTTATTTTCATATCATTGTGAATTCAATTTCACATTAAAAAAAAAGATGTCTTTAAATGGGCCAGTTCAAATTGCTACATCTTGAGCAGTCACTTGGGACAGTATCAAGGCTGAGGCACCATTATGCAACTATGTTGAGATCTTCAAAATAAAAACATACTTGTGGTCATCCAGGAATCAAGGCAGAATAAATTATTTGGCTATTTTGTGAATAGAAAATGATCTAAAAAAAGATTTGCAGATCTAAAGGCTAGAAAAGAAATGTTTTAGGTCGGATAATGAATGTTTTCTTTAGCTTGTATTAAGTTGTATATTGTAATAAACTTGGTATTCTATATTTTCAGTCTTTCTCATTGTGAACAGACATTATATTAACTACTTTTTGTTGAGCAGAAAAGAGACCTTTGTCTCCAACTTCAGCAAGGCACTTTATTTCACTTTGTCAAGAAAACCAGAGAAAGAAAGACATTTGTGTTTATCTTTTTTGCACCTCAGTTCAAACATGCTTGTTCTTGGAGCAATGCATACATTCATCTGTTTTGGGATCGCCAGTTGAAAGAAATAGACGGGGATTATGGAATATGGTTTTACATAGCTTTATTACTGAAGAAACTGCTAGTATGAAAATGTCTAATCTGTGTTTTTTTCCTTCTTTATGGAAGTATTATTTACCCACTGCCCCACACAGCAAGATGTGACACAAGACCGAGTTTTAAAGTGTGGTATCCAAGCTCGTATTCTCGGGCAAAATTCCTTATAGACCATGTAAAAAACGGAGTCAATTTCCCTTGATGAAATTCTGCCTTTCAGCTGAGCCTAATCTGGGAGATACCCTCTGACATGTGCCTGTTAAGTAGATGGAAATCCTCCCCTCTCTTTTCTTAACTTTCTTAGGGAAAGTTCTCAGTGTCGGGGAGACAACTCCAAATGTCTTTTTGCTATTCAGGTTGTTTTTTTTTCAGATGGAAAAAACTGAGTACAATTACACATTCTAAATGTTAGAATGTAAATAATTTTATCATTTTTCATTAATAATGTTCAACTCTTAGTAAAAATTCATGTACAGAGCAACCTCAGCTCTCAAACATCTCACATGTCGAACAAATCAGTTTTTGAACAGAAAATTCAAGATGAAAATGCCTCGGTTATCAAACAAAATTTTGGTTCTCGAACAATATTGCCGAACCGAGTTAACCCAAATGGAATCATTTCTGAGTCAACCACCTTGTTATATACATTCGTGCATTGTGCTTTTCTTTTCTGATTTTATTGTACTCTGCCTTTTTCTTCTCTTTATTAGCCTTTAGTCATGGCTCCAAAGAAAGCTAGCAATGATACTGTTAAAGAAAAAAGAAAAGTTAAGAGAAAAACTATTGTTGATGATATTGTCTCTTCCTACTCAGTTTCATATGGCAAAATCAATGATCTATACTATTCTTATAAATAAAGAGACAATCATGTCTTTCCTTCCCTTTTTCCAAACAATAATATCGCTTTCTGTTCTTTTCCAAACCACTTTCCTCGTGTGCCATCAACTCTCCTACTTACAGGTACAGTAAAATTAAAGTGTTTGTCTATATTTGATTTATTTAGCATTGGATTTATTTATTTTTTTCTTCGATTTAATGATTTTCATTAGTTTTGTGTTTAAAGTTGTGCACAAGTTTAAATAATCCATTCTTGGTCCCAAGCTGATTGCTTAATTCATTTTACATTGATTCATATTGGAAAAATAGTTTCAGTTTATGAACATTTTGGGTTACAAATGGGCTTCAAGAATGAATTAAATTCATGAACTGAGATTCCACTATACATTGTTTGATTCATTTTCTATGGCTTGTCAACAGTTTACATGTTAAAGCCAGAGAATATTTTCAAATTGTGCAAATTTTTTTTTTCTTGGAGATAATTATGATTTAGTGATACAAGTCTTACTAATCAACCCATATCTTGAAGGAGAAAAATGGATTCATAACTTTCCCAATGGTATTTGCACATAAGTGAATATACCAAATCCCAAGAGGAATTGGAACTCTGCTTTCTGATTCAAGCTTAGAGCATCTGGTATTCCCAAGTAGTCACCCATCTAGGTACTGACAAAGCTCAACATTGCTTAACTTCAGTGATCATATGCGAACCACTGTTTCAACGTAATGTCACTGTATGCCTACACATGTACAGTTGTTTGTCTGAATGATAGAAGAACTGAAATATTTTATAGAAGCCGCAATTGCCAGAATTTTTGACCTCACATAGAAGTCAGGGGATGTGATTTTTCTGTAGCTCAGTATTGTAAAAAAAAACCATCATCTAAGTGTATTCATTTTTCATAATGTCAAAATGATGGTTGACTGTTTTACAGAATCATCTGTAGTGACCCACTATGGAGCGATTGAGATAGTTAGGACAACAGCTCATTTGTAAATAAAGAATTTTGAAATAACTGAAAAGTTTGAAGCAAATTGTCCATTAATTCAGTATATTTATTACAGTTGTGATAGTAAATTAGCACAACTTTATATATACACAAGTTATTGCCCCCCCCTCTTCCCCATGAAACAGTGCAAAGTACATATGACAATTGGATGCATGCAGCTCAACTAAGTGGATATATGTTGTGGTGACCAAACCCAAACTGAGATAGGTTTTGTATTTAGGCAAAAATCAATTTTCAATGATGATAATAATTTAAGGTCACAAAAGTCCACTGTTTGCAGCACATGTTCATAATTACTAAATAGCTCTTCAGACATATTATGAACACTGTATAAGTCATCTATAAGATCTGTAAATACACTGTCTCAACACAGATCACCCAATATATGGCGCAGGGTAAGTTACTTTTCATGTGCAGTCTCAGATCTTGACATTCCTATTACTGACCAAATATGAAATATTTGACACATTTAAGCTCATCAGTTAAATACTAGAGTCATATCAAAATGATACTAGAGGGATTTACAGAATCTTTTGTAATGAAACACAATGGATCTATTGTGTAGGGTTATGCAATAGTATTATTTGAATGTAGATCATCTGGAAAAAAAAGTTGCAAAGTCTCAAGTAAGTTCTCTGTCTATTCAATAGATTTATTAAAGTGGTGTGGGTAGAAGAGTACAACCTTGCTTGACATGATATATTGCTTTAAATGTTGATAATTAGCTCTTCAGGCATATGACAAACACAGTATAAGTCATCTACAAGCTTTGCAATTACACTGTCTTTAAGTAGATCACCTGAGATGTGACTCATTAGCTCCTTGGGTGCAGTCTCTAATCCTTGCATTCCCATTGCTGACCATGTATACAACACTTGACATCTTCAAACACATTAGTTAAATGTCAGAGCATAAACTATTTTCTCACATTTTTACCAATAATGGAGTGTCCTTTTGCTTCTGATAATTATTTGGCATTTATTTAAGTGACAGTATTTGCAACTATTAGAACATGAATTTATTATTTTCTTTCATAAAACCTCTTCTTTATTCACTGTAGCAGGTGAGGATAATAATTTGAAAAAACACATGCAAGCACATGCCAATCGAGCAAGTACTATTAGTGCAAGTGTTATTCGAATGTATCTGACACCACTATTGTTCAATAGTATTACTATAGTTGAAGCTGCTATTACAAGGTCTCTACTACAATGGGCATTACAAAAGTGACAGTTCTCATCATGGATTTAACTTTTTAATATTTTTATATTAAAAAGAACTCCATGAATTTGGTATTATATATTATACTTCGGTTAAAAATTTTGTTTTACTTACATCAATGGTTGACCATAAATGAGTATGGGAAATTCTTTTTCTTTTTGCAGTGAAAAACACAATGATTTGGAACTACTTGGAAAATCAGATAATTGTTAGATTTTAATAAAAGTTTCAGGAATTTTTGACAAATAAATTCATTTTTATTAGAAATGTTTCTTTTTAGAAAATTTTTTTTTGTTCTTACGTCTGTTACCTTCCCCTCACTTATTTAATTTTATGAAATTCTGAGAAATTCATTTTTGTGGCACTTAATGTTTATATTAGCGATAAGCACAAGTCCTTGGAGAATTTAAATCAATTTATATTATGGACACTATTGGCTAAAAAAAAATTTTTTGCAATGAATAATGAATTTTTATGAGAATTGTTTTCACTTTTTAAAAAGTTTTAAATCTTTTAGAATTCTGTATTAATTTGTACCAGTTAGGTGATACTGTTATTAAGTAAAAGCTATATTCACTAATCATAAATGAAAAAGCTTACTACAATTCATGATCCCTAGTATTTTAAGAAGAATTTTTAATTATTTTGTATACATGTATAAGCATGCCAATTTTGTAAATATGGATGTCCATACATAACATTATCATAAAATAAGAGTGGTGACTATAGTAAATTTAAAATTTATTTATAATTTTTTCAACAAGTATCTTCATACATAAGACTATAAAGTCAAAATACCTAAAATGCAATAAAATATTAGATTACTTAAAATATTTTTTTAAATTTTTTAAGATTACTGAGTAGTTAAAAATTATATAAAAAAGCATTCATGTTATATTTATGTAGTGACTATTACAATAATTGTCACCATTTAAAAATTTCCAAACATAAGTCTAGCAAGAAAATTGTCAACATCTCATAATAAAAACACCCACCTCTGTATTAAAATTGCTTTTCTGTGATATCTTAAACTAAAATTAATTTTTTTTTTTTTTTTTTTGCTTGTCAAAAATCTTCTTCTGTTGTTCCACTTGTTCAGGTGAGCTGTCTGATATTTTTATCAGCCTATTAGCCTTCTACCTCTTTTTGGCAAAGTACTAGAGGCTCTACTTAAACTCTGAATTGGTTGAGCATCTCACTTCACAGGGTCTTCTTTCAGATAAGCAATGTGGCTTTTGCTTCTCTAGGTCAACTGCTGATGTGTTAATGATTATTGCTGAAAGAGTCTATCAAGCTTTAGATAAGAATATTGAAGCTTTGGATATCCCAAAAACATTTGACAGGATTTGGCATACTGGTCTTCACAAGTTGAAAATGAATTTTTAAACTGATTCAGTTTATCAAATGAAAGTTGTCTTGAATGGCCACTCTTCTAGACCTTTCTGCATTAATGCAGATGTTCTTGAGGGCTCTATCCTTGGACCTACATTGCTCCTTATTTTCATGAATGACCCTCCTGATCTCATCTCTTCTCAGCTCAGTATCTTTACTGATGATACAACTATTTACTCCTGTCTAAATAGTCTGATTGGTCCAATAAAGTCAAATTGGCAGCTGATCTAAAAAATGACCTACAACCTGTTGTTAAATGAAACAAGGAGTGCTTTGTTCATTTTAACACCTCTAAAATTAAACTGCTCCCTTTAATAGTTTGGTTGAAGCCTTTCTACATTCCAACAACATGGCTGGTGCTAACCTCCAGGAGAGTCTCATTGTGCCTTCTCGGACTAACATGGGGAGAGACTATATTGAATCAATTCCTAAGTCTGCAGCTAAGAAATTTGGTTCACTATGTCATGCTAAACAATTTTTCTTGCCAGAATCTATCTTGCATATTTATAAGTCTACCATTCCTCCTTGTTTTGATTAATGCTGTCACATCTGGTATTGTACTACTGCAATATATTTAGAGATTCTTGATAAAATCCAAAGAAGAATCTGCAACGTTATCGGTCCTAACCTGGCATCTCAGCTTCAGTCACTTCCCACTGCTGTAATGTAGCTTCTTTATGGCTTTTCTATAAATATTTTCATGGTATTTTTCTGATGAACTTTTCTCTAGAGTACCTAGACTTTATGAATTTGAGTGCAGTACTAACTAGATAGGCAGCAAGGTCTCATCATTTTACAGTTGAAATGGCGAGGTAATCATTAAAACACTGGACACTTCTTAAGAAATTATTTTTCATAGAAAAACGTGAGCATGAAATTTAAAGAAAATATTCAGTTTATATATTTATTTTATTTATGAGATGAATTTTGTTTAATGTTTTTTAAGAAAATGCATAAAACTAACAGCCGACATGAAAGTGATTTGATTATGAATATTTGGACAAACTACAATGAATAAGTACTTTATACAATTTTAAAATGCATCATTAAAGAAAATATAAGAAAAAATTTAAACTGTGTAATATCTATTGATGAACCAAGTTTGGTTTAAAATGGAGTTCAGCTGGTTATATTTATACACTCAGTAAGCAATACAAATTTCAATGCAGTTTTGCTCAAAATGAATGCAGCGTACCCTTCTTTTTGATTCATGTGCACCTTGGGTTCTGTGGGCACAGAGATATGAAAGTGTTATGGTCTGGTTCCTTGTACCATGGTGATAGTCCAAGGTAGAATCAATAAAGAAGAACTCGAATATGGATATGGAATAACACAGATATATTACATACAGAGAGATAGAAAGTGTTAGTACGAACAATCAGGTTTAGTAGTAATTGTCTGAACACGACTCTGTTTCGGGCTGCCTCTGACTGACAGACTCCTGACAGACCTCACTTCAGACTGAGCTCTCAGACTTCAGATGGAAGTCTCTGCTTCCTCTTGATGTGCAGTATTTATTACGTATGGAATAGTCCATTATGTTATTATGGGTAAGGTCCCATAACAGAAAGAAAATGATTATTAAAGATGCGACATTGTTTTACAAGGTGTATTTTTCATTTATTTTTTAAGAGTTGAATTTCTCTGGTATTTCATCCCCTAAAATTTTCAACTTAGAAATTTTTTGTGAAAGTCAACTTTGAACCGTATAGCAAGCTCACTTAATTGATGAATGCCCTTGTTGTTTGTTTTTTTTTTTTTTTTAAGATGGGACTATTTTGATATTTGTAGAGAGACTACTTGGAGTGTAATTCATTTGAAAAAAAACCACAGTGAAATCGTCAACTTTGAAAATACAGAAAATCATTGTCATTGAAAGTGATAATTTAATTTAGTGACATGAAATAAAAACTAATCATAACATGAAAATAAATGGTATCTTTAGAAAGAGAAAGAATTAAATGTTGTTTGCCTACTAATTTCATCAAAATAATCTTGAAAATAAATGTAGCAGCTGAATTGGAAGGAAATTTCTTTATTTTTGACACATTTTTGCAATCTATAAGGTCTGATCAAAATTATCTGGACTGGTGTTTTAAA